ATACTTCTCCGTCTCCTGGAGAGTGTTGCAAAGCAATTCCCCGGCAGGACAACAGAGGGCGTAGCGCTGTTTTGTGGTATCCTGTCATGTATCCGGTCCAAGATAGTGTGTTTATATTGTGTTTTTGTATATAAGAGACTTTAACACAGACAAATGTGTCTCTCGTTCTCCTCCACCTCTTCATGCGCTCGCCACTGCTAAACCCACGCTTCCTGTCATTTCCGTCCACCAATAAAATGCTTGCTGTGCATATTTTCACTCCTCCAGTCACGGGGGAATTAAACATTCATGTTTTTAGAGTTTTTTCGCGAGGTATTCTTCAAGCTTCTCTGTGTCTGCCGCTTGTTATCCTCGGCTCTCTTTATGTTTTTGAGGGCGCAATGGCGGCGCTGTAGACAACAGCGGCGTCCTGACCAATCACAAGCTTGCGTTGTCCGTCTCGACTGACGGATGTTTAGAAAAGAGAGCTCGACTCCGTCCGTCCTTGTGGAGCTCTCCGGCAGGTCCGCAAGGACGTTGCGTGTCTCCGCACTGACGCAGACGGAGAAGCATGAATCAGGCTTTAGTTGGAACCTCAGCAACCTCGGCGGAAGGTCGTCCAATGCCGTTGTGCTTAGGAATGGCACCAAAGGCTTATGGTCAGTTTCCAATCTGAATCTGGGACCGTGAATGTTGGATCCCAGTCGTCTGCATGCCCTTGTGGCCACCAAGGTCTCTTTCTTTATTTGGGCGTAGTGTTTTTCCACTTCCGTTAATCCTCTTGAGGTGAACACCACTGGCCTCCATGCTCCATTCAGTTGTCCCTGTGTGAGAACCGCTCTTTGCCCATAGGAGGATGTGTCGGCCGCCACACATCTGAGCTATTAATGAGTAGGGTGCCAGCACTCGTGGTTGACTTTGTTCAGTTTTCAGTCTCTGGAATGCCACTTTCTGTGGAGTTTCTCAGTGCCACTCATCCTTTTCACCGAGCAATTTCTTTAATGGTTTTGTGTACGATGTGAGATGAGGGAGAAATTTCCCTAGGTAGTTGGCCATGCTCATCTCTCTCCTCACTTCTTCTGTGTTCTTGGGCTCCGGCAACACCAAGATCACTCTGACCTTGTTTGGATCTGGGGGTATTTCGTCAGCGGTGACACGGTGACCTACAAACAAAACATGGTCTTTGGGGAACTCCCATTTTTTGTTTAGTGTCAGGCCTTCCTTCTCCAGTGTCTGTAAAACTTTGTGTAGTCTCATGTTGTGCTGTTGCATGTCCTTCCTGTAAACAACAATGCCTTCTATGTGGCAAACCACCCCATCGCTTGCCTCCAGTATCTGTGACATGCGGTGTTGAAAGTGCTCTGGCGCAGATGAAATCCCAAACGGCAGTTGGTTAAATACATACCTGCCAAAAAGAGTAACAAACATTGTCAGGAGTCGACTCTCCTCTATCAGCAGAATTTACCAAAAGCCAGACGTAGCTTCCAGTTTTGTGAAGATCTTTGTTCTGGACAACATCGCGAGGGTGTGGTCAACTGCTGGGAGAATATGGCTTTCTCTCCTCACCCACTTGTTCAGCTGGGTCATGTCCACACACAGTCTCATCTTTCCTGGTCGTGCTTTTGGTGCCATGACCAACCCTGTAGACCACTGTGTCGGTTTTGTCAATCTGGATATCACACCCATTGCTTCCAAATGCTCCAGCTCCTCTCTAACCCTTTGATGCAAGAATTACAAAATCTTCAACCATGATTTTTGAACAAATTTTTTCATTCATCTTTAGGTCTGAATGAAACAAATTTCAACAAATATTTTTTGTAACATTTATTAATTTAAAAATAATTTATTACATGTCCACCTCAGTGGACAGCGTGTATTCTGACCATGAAATATGTTGGCTTGACTTACTGAAGTTCAAATTAAGGGGCTCAAATGCATTAAAGTCTTCAACAGCTGTGCTTAACAGCAAAAAACAAAAAACAAAACAAAAACAATTTTGAGTACCTGTCCACTGTAGCGACCATTATGCATCAAAGGGTTAACTTTGTCTCACAGTGGTAAGGGCACCCTGCGAGGGGTTGACGGAGCATGTGAGACGGCATCTGGTTCCAGTTCAGTCCTGTAGGAGCCCTACTTAATTTCCTCAGCCCTGAAAACACTACATAGAGCTTTAAAATCTTCTGAGTGTTCTCTCACTTCTTTAATTCGCTTTATCAGCTCAAGTGTTTTAATTGCAGGCAGACCCAGCAATGGTTTTAACAGTCCATTTACAACATACACATCTTGTATGGTTTTTTTCTGTTTTAAATTTAGTTTACATTTGAAGCTTCCTTTAACGTCGCGTTGCTGTTTTCCTGGACCATACAGCAGTTTCCCAGGTGGCTGCAGTATGCCGTGTTTCCGGGGAGAGCTAATGCTGCTCGGAATTGCTGGAACACTTGCTCCAGTTTCCAACTTGAAGAGGGTCTTTTCCTGATTTTATTGCACAGTGTCGCTCCACTCTTTTCCCGACTCCTTAATTTATCCTAGAAAAGCAAAATCCTCTTCTTCCCCGCTTCTGCCGCACAGCGCTGTAACGTTATGAACTTCTCTGGTAGATCTGCATTTCTTAGCAAAATGTCCTTTTAGTGACACTTCCTGCATTCTACTTCATGTGCTGGGCACTCTGTCCACTAGTGTTTCTTTGATTGTCCACATCTGCCACACTCACTTGTTCTCGTTTCAGTGTTTTCTATTTCCACTTTAAAAGGTTTCTTCTTGGACTTTTGCTGTATCAGCTCTACATGTCCCAGTTTCTTAACATATACACTGTAAACACAAATGTTGAAAATATTGAATTTAGAACTCAAATGTGTTGAATTAGTTCAGTCTTTTCTTTGTTTTAAGTACATATAACTCTAACTTTTTAATTAATCTCAACAATTTTTTGAAGTATGCTTAACTTAAATTTATAAAGAACAACTTAACTGGAATGAGTAACAGTAACTTAAAAGTGATTGATTTATCATTTAATGTTCTATTTTACTCTATTCACCTTTTCGTCACCTTAAAGTGTGTCTGATAAACAAACAATTATATTTTTTAATATTTGGGGACGTATAGGAAATTTTTTTGGGAGCCTTGTGTTCCTCGGGTGTTTTTAAGGGCACGCGGAGGGTGGGTAGCATTCCGCCGACGTCTATCACAGCGGTGGATGGGGTTGAGTGGCTGCGCTTTACCGACTTCCGGGGGGGTTGGGGGGGGGGGGGTATTGTTACTGGAAGACAAGATGAATGGCCCTCTAGAGCGACTCAGCTCTCATTGTTCACTTTGAAACTTGTTCAAAAGATTAGATTAATTCGTGAATGTCACATCACTGTTATTAATGATTTGGTGGTTCACACCAAATACTCTGGACTTGGCTTTGTGTGTTCCGCTCTCATAGGCTGTCAGCAGCTATGGGTGTGTGAGGCATGCAGTGTTGGAGTTAGCTTCAGCCTTCACCCTTCACCTGCCTGCAGTGTTGCATATTTTTAAGTAAATTCAACTTATCTGGGTTAGCAGTGTAGGGTAGTAAAACATTTCAAGTATTTTATGCTTAATTGAGATTAGTACAATAAACTGAGAATGTGAAGTAGAGGTTACTCCAAAAATGTACTTAATTTAAAAAGATGTTCACTTTACTGAAAAATATGAATCTAAAGTACCTAAACAAAGTGTGTTTAATCAGCTATTTTTGAGTTTCATTAACTCCATTTTTTTATGTAATCAGTTTCACCAAAGATTTTGAGTTATATAAACTGATCAGGTTTTACAGTGTAAGTACTGATACATTCTCTCATATGCACTGGGTAACAAGTATAAAAAACCCCAGTCCCCATACTAATCCCTTTTTTACCCTGCACAGGTGAAACATAAAAAAAAAAAATAGAAAAAGGTGCAAAAGCTCCTGTATTTCAGTAATTTAACTATTTAGGCTCAGAGTGTGACACTTTCCTTGAACATGGAACATTTTACAATATTCTAATTGTGTTAGATTTAGAATTTTGGGTTTTCATAAACTGGATAACTGGACATTTGGGTTTTATCATAGAACTGTGATTTCAGCCGATTTGAGCTGATGTGTAATCTTAGATGAGAAATGATTCAACTTCCAGTTAATCAAGTGTAAGTGTTAATACCATGATTGTGTCGCACATCTATTTGAAGGGGCAATGCTCATCCTTGCCCCAGTGTAGAACGGACCTTGGTCAACACTTCGGTGTAGAATGAAAAAAATCACTTCAACAGAACTTGGCCGACAAAATGATGCTGGCTAAAGTATCCCAAAAAGTAGCACTTCATGCCATGCCTCATTCTAAAGAAATACAAGAAAATCCCAACACAGAGCAATATGTGAATGGCTGCAGGCCACACATAGCTTCGGTTAAGGCCAAATGTCATGGTTCAACAAGAAAGAAATGCAGCAAAAATGGTCAACATGGGAGAGTTGTAAGTCAAAAACATCTAAGCAAAGCCAAAACAAACAAACAAACAAACAAACAAACAAACAAATAAATAAATAAACAAATAAACTATGTGGGAGCATTTACCTTTACACAGTTCCGAATGTGTCGCTCTCAGACGTCACTTTAATGCCCTCTTGTGACCTTAGAGGACAAAAACGTCCGCTCCAAAAAGTGGCTGTAATAATGTATACATTCATCATATTTTTCATAAATCTGTTAAACAACTTCAGCCCTACTCAAATCTATAAAAGCTCATTTTTAGAGTTTTAAGCCTTAAAAATCCAGTTTGATTACTCAATGTCATGGCTGTAATTTGTAAAAAAAAAAAAAAAAAGGAGTTATTTTCCCATAAATCTATTTGCCTCCAGCCTGATGCATAAATTATTTGGTTTTCTACACTTTAAAAGCCAGTAAGAGAGTGAAACTTTGTTTTATTAACTTGTCTGAAGTCAAGCTGACCTTTTGACTTCAATATAAACAACAAAAGATCCAAACAAATGTGTAGAGTTTCTCGCCTCAGCCAGTAATGGAGACATGGCTGATTTTGGTGGTCAACAGTAACAATCACGAATTTGACTTTCCTTCTAAATTGAACCCTAACATAACCGAATGCATGATTATCTTTTGCAGATGTCACAGGATCAAAAACTGTGATTAGCAAGGAAGTCAATGGGACGTTTTTGTCCTCGATAGTCATAAGGGGATGGTAAACTGTAAATCTGTTGCTACGCAAAAACTATTGATGCAAAAAAGAAAAAAATTATCAGATATTTCATAACATGACCAAGACTGATTTGTAATAAATGCCCCAGATAGAAAAAGTAGTTAAAAACAACAACAACTAATTTTTGTGTTTTTATAAATTGCACTAATGACATTAATAAAACTGGAATTTGAAGTGTTAAAAGGCTCAAAATGACTACGTTTTTATATATTAGAGCAGTACTGAAGTTGTTTAACAGATCTAAGAAAAAAAGCAAAGATAAAATATGAATGTGTACATTGTTTATGGTCACTTTTACGAGCAGACGTTCTGTTCTCTAAGGTCACAAGAGGGCAGTGTTTTATTTTCATAGGGATCCCTTGGTCTATTCTCAAAATTCCAAATGAAAATTCTAAATTAGTCAAGAAAGAGGTTTTGCGTTCAAATGAAAAGGGGAAAACTGCCCAAATGAACAAAAATGCAGCCAAAACATAAGGGTTAAAGAGCATCAAAGAGTTCCTTCACTCATATTTTTAATACATTTGCAGCGGCCTCTAGTAAGAATGAATGCTGTGTAAGTCGTACTCTGGAAAAAATTAAAGCTCCAGTTTGTCTGTTTCAGCATGGAGAATTCAGCCAGAGGAGAAAGATGCTTCAGACGACAGAATTTGGACTCTTGTTTTCTCATATTTGAATATCTTGTCTCTGAATGGCTAACAGCATTGCAACTCTACCACTGACTCCATTTGCTCTGTTGATGTTTTATCTCCACAAAAACCACAAGCTCAGAGGAGTTCTGCTGTGTAGTGCAGTTGCTAATGCTAATTGTTAGCTTCTTCTAGTTGAGACGTTCTCCCCAACACGAGTCAAAATGGGTGAGTCCATGAGCGTTAAGTGCCAGTATGACGTGGATCTGTCAGGCTTTTCAAATCCTTGAGTTTTTACTATCAGAAGCTAATACAGAGATACATGTCGGTCACAAATTTCACTTTCAGCCTGCATGTGAAACTCAGGGTGACCAATTATTTTCATAAACAAAAAGTAGTAACACTTTACAATAAGGGTCTCTTAATTAACATTACTTAGTGCATCATCATAAACTATTAAATGAAGTATTAACAACTGCTTAATATTAACAATAAGTAATGCATTACCAAGCACACACACACCAGTTCTTTGTTCTAAACTTAAGGACACTTAATAAATAATATTAGGATTGATAATAAAGGAATCATTTATTTATTAATGCTTAATAGTGCACCAAGTAACACTAATAAAGGAATACTTTGTTTATTAATGCTTAATAATGCACTAAACAATGTTAATAAAGGCGTCTTTTGTTTGTTAATGCTTAATAACACACTAAGTAATGCTAATAAAGGGACCCATATTGTAAAGCGTTATCCATTAAGTAAAACTGGTTTCTTAGTGAAGGACCTCTTTAACATGTAGCCTATATAAGTGGTTATTCAGCAGATGATGTTCATGTGGTTTTTGATCCTGCAGTGGATATCCAAAACGAAGAAGGGAGAGAAAGGAAGAGAAATAGAAAAAAGGGATGAAACTGAACAAAAACAGTAAACAATGAGTAAGACAGGCAGGAAGGGAGGGAGGGAGGAAGGTAGAAAGGGGGAGGTCTGAGAGGGGATGAAGCTTGCCGTCTGGCAGAACAGCATCCTTCCCTCCTCCTTCCTGCTCCTCCCCTCTTCCCTCCCGGCATCTCTCCCCCGCACCAGAGCTCAAGAATCCCAGCATCAGCTTTCTGGATCCTCACAGATTCTCAGCTTGGCTTGTTTCTCTCTCTCTCTCTCTCTCTCAGGGTGTGTGTGAGTTTGTGTGTGAAAACGGACAGAAGCGTGAGTACTTGACACGGTGCTCTGTACTTTCTGTGTGTTTGTCTCCCCGCAGCGGAGGTGGGCGTGCAGAGCCTCTGACCCTTTGTCGCCCACTCGCCTGCTCTGTCTCTCTGAGCAGCTCCAGGTGGGTGGTGGGGGGACATGGATGGACTGCGTTTACCTCCTCTCATAGAAGAGGCTTTGGACTCCACAGGTTAGTACACATCTTTTCTCTCTAATGTTGTTTTAATCTGGGACATGGTGGTGTTTGTTAGTATTGAAGCAGTGGTAGGATCCGAGGAAAAGGTAACATTTTGATGCTTGTCTCTGGGTTTGCTCCATGACTGAGCTGATGAGGGATGGTGATGCGATCTGAGGTGGGGTATAATCAGGGTATGATGGAGGAAGTCAAGCTTTATGATGATCTGAGTGGGAATCAGAGTCAAAATGAGGCATCATTTGATAGAGACAGTGCAAGGTGATGAATTGCTTGCAGCTATGTGCAGGAGACAGGAAATAACCTGGAACCATAGCCCTGGCTCTGTCTAATGACTGGCACATGTTTTTGTGAGGTCTTGCTGTGTTTGGTGCTAATTTAGTTCAGCTCTGGCTCGTTTTCTCTTCCTCGTTGTGATTGTGCCGAACAGCTGCAGTTTCACTCCACCAATGAGCACAATGCATCTTTATTTTTGTGCTTCTTACAGAATCAGTGCTGTGCCCTGGGAAAAATCTGTGGAATGTTGTTTATTTTCTTCCTCCACTTGATGTCTGCATGTTTTGAATGGGTGTGCAGAGAGAGGAGGGACTGTTTGGAGGATGTTTGTCAGTTGGGGAGAACCACAGGTCAAGAGCGATCTGGTCCCACCAGCTGACCTGCCTGAGTTTAACTTCCTGTCTAACAGTGACCTGAAAGGGAACTTTAATATTTATTAACAAGAAACTCTACATGTGAATAATGATACCTACAGATGGCATGTCAAAATAAAAGTTTTTAAAAAGCATTATTTGTGGAATTTCGTGAGGATTGAAATTATGAAATACAGTAAAAGTAGCAATTATTTCCAAAACAGAAACATTCAATATTGAATCAGAGCAGCTGTTTTCTTTACTTTTTTCAATGTTTTTTCACAGGGAGATATTTGCATGTTTTTATTTTTTAAAGCACTTTACACTAATCCTGTTCACAGTTCTGCCTCAGGTTTTTCATTTAAGCCTAATGGGTATATGTTTAGTTTTATTTCCGAGTTACCGTATGATAGTTCTACAGATTACACAAAACATGATCCTGTGGTCTTGATATTTGAGTGCCTTCCTGAATGAGCCATTTCAGGGCTCTGCCACTTTAAGGAAAACAAGCTGTTGATGGCCACGCCCATCCACCTCTGATTGGCTGGTTGTTCACCGCTTGTGAAAATGGGAGAATATAGAGGCGCTACACTAATTTAGATGCACATAAATCTTAACTTCTGTCAGGAGGCAGAAATGTGGTGCGTTAACGTCTGAGCCAAGCTAGTTCGTGTGTAACTGTGATACAAACACAACATCGTTATTTGAAAATACTTACAGAAGAAGTTTGCTAGCCAATCCTGTTGTTGTCCGAGGTTCTCAGTTTCCTTTGACAGGGAGAAGGTGTAGGGATTTGTCTTGTTCTTTGCAGCCGATAACCCAACACTTCATGTGTAGCTTGCCTTCGCTGTTGCATGGCCATAGCTCTGCTCAGCTTCGGTAAAAAGCCAGATCCTCCACAACTCTGGTGGGTGAGTACTCAACAGATGGTTGTGTGCTAGATTCCCTTATTGTGAAATGCACTGTCATTGGCAGCAGTATGTAGACCAGACTGTCCAATAATCAAAAGGTTGTAGGATCGATCCCAGCCCCTAGCAAAGAATGTTGCTGTTGCGCCCTTGGGCAAGACACTTAACACACCTTACCTTCTGGTGGTGGTCGGAGGGACTGGTGGCGCCAGTTCTCAGTGGCCTTGCCTCTGTTATTGTGCCCCAGGGCATCTGTGGCTACAATTCAATTCAATTCAGTTTGTTTAGATAGCGCCAAATCACGACAAGCGTCGTACAGACACTTCTAAGTAAACACTCCAACAGTTCAGTTCATGGTGCCAGTCAAAGGTATGTTGCTCATCACCACCATGGTGTGAAAGTGTGTGTGCATGGGTGAATGACTGTGTTGTAAAGTGCCTTGGGGGCTTCTGTCACTCTAGAAGAAACTACATCAGTGACAAGCCATTTAACATTTAACGTCACAATAAGTGACTTTTCAAAATGTCTCATTTTAGACACATAACTCCTAAAAACGAATGCAGAGAGAGAACAGATGGATGGTTTATATTCACATTTTGAGCAGTTACAGACTGCAGAGACTCACATGGCAGCACAAAAGGATGCAAAAAGAGAGCTTTGCATAATTTGACCCCTTCAAATTAACATCAAAATTCGCCAGTCATGCAATAAAACGTACAGTTCAGTGTGGGATTGCGTTAGTTAAATTTGATGAGACTTACAGAAATAGCAGGAAAACTCCCCTATTGAGAACAGCTACCTTTTAGTAAAACAGGTGAGAAAATCCATCTTTGGAGCTCAGGTAGACGTCACAGTAGAAAAATAATTCAAAGTTTAAATGGATCACAGTAAATACATTTTTTTTGTATTTTATTTCACAATTTCAAATATTCCATTTGAGGTTCAATTAACAGTTGTTATTTTGTTTAGAGACATTGATAAAGTCAGAAGTTTTGTGAACAAACTTGTTACTGACAGAACTTTTGTGTTGGACCCACACATTATACATCTAAATGTAGGAAATTGTGTCTTATTTCTCTTTCCTCAAAGTGCTAAGACCACACACAGCTGAAAGTTAAGAGTCCGTTTAACTTTTCACATCTTCGACATTCAACTGTAGAAACCAAAAATCCAACATGCCACCAGCAGAGTCTTCTGTGGCTCACAGTAGAAGACTTTTAACCGTGTGACTTTTCGTTTTAGCTTACGTGCAAAAGGAACTTCTTTCAGGAATAAAGTAAAATCTTAAACTGGTTTGTCTCTAAACGTTAATCAGTAGATGTACGTGTAATCACCCACTTCTCAAAGTTTCACAGAAATCCGTCCAGTGGTTTATGAGACATTTTTCTAACCAGGACACATTTAGTCTTTCTGTGAAATCACATAGGCATATAAATGTGTATTCAGAACTAAGCAATTTTTATTTTATTTTATCCTATAGAACTTCTAAAGTGTTATTAAAGCAGCTGTAAAGTCAGTCCTGGTCTTTTTCTGCACTCAAGGCTGTGTATTGACCACCGTCTCATGGACGTCATCTCAGGAGAAATTCTTCCTCCCTAACAAGCTTTTTCCTGTTATCTGAACTCCAGAGACCTCTTTCCTTTCATCATAACCCCACGCATGCTTTTAAAGCTGGAAACCTAGTGTCTATCGATGGTAAGTGTTGCTTTCAGTAACGTGAGTTCTGACAGATTCCCCATAACAAGAACAGGCTTACAGCACATGTAAAAAAGCGTCGAGCAACACTTGTGTTAACTCCCGTCATTCTGAATTTAACACCAGGGAATCTAAATAGATTAAATAATAAAACAAAACAAGACAAAAAAATAAAACAGAATTTACTCCACCCTGGATGAGGTCACACGTGAGTTGTTGCTTTGGCTCTCAAAGGGGATTTTTGTCAAGCTTTGAAAATCCAGTCGGGGCTGTTTTGTGTGCAAACAACTGTAAAAATGATATTTGGAGCATGCGTCACATGCACTAGCAAAAAACAGTGTCTCACACAAAAGCACTCTGCCATTAATCAATAAAATATCATCAGATGTGTCCTTGACATTTGCAAGCTGTTTTTTTACTTCTTCCATGCATCACTCTCTCTGCGTTCCCACGCACTCACACACAAGCCTGTGCACCTGACACTACCATCAGCCCACTCAGTGTTCCTCTGGTGTCCGCTCCTCCTCTTCTTTCTCCCCCTCAGCTTTTGTGGAGCCCTCATGCTGTGAAATCCACAACAGCAGTGAAACTTCCCAGCGGCATACCCAAACAGGATTCCTCCCGGCTCTCTGGAGCTAATAAACAGCAAAGTTGCTTGGCTAAGACAGCTTTTGGATGTTAGAAATGTTCTGAGAGAAACAACAAAAAAAGATTTTTTACCCCAAGGTCATCCAAATCTTTCTCTTTCTCCTTCTTTTTGGCCTGATCAACGTTTTTTCTTCCTTTAGATTTAAAAGCTTAACTGAGATAAAAAGCACTCTGCAAATACCCAACAAAACAAATGCATTGTTTTATTCTTATTAAATGAAAAAAAAGAAAATTCCTAAATCTCTGCGCACTTACGAGTCATGTACCTCTTTATTTTCTTTTTTCTGTAGATTTACCCCTTCTCTCAGAAATAGCTGCAGACTTATTATTACCCCCATCCTTCTCACACTGAGTTTTTATGCTTTTTTCATTTTGAAAGCCTCACCTGGAGTCACAGCCCCTCCCATCTCTCTAATTTTGCTGATGTAAAACCTTCTACACAGATTGCTTTCAGGTGGGATTTGATGATTCGTGATGAAGCGGATTATTGTTGCATCACTTGTCGTCACGCTTTATTCCCCCACCTTTATTGTATCTCTATCAGCAAGCACGTGGACACACTGTGCCACCACACACACACACACACACACACACACACACACACACACACACACACACACACACACACACACACACACACACACACACACACACACACACACACACACACACACACACACACACACACACACACACACAGGGGTTTATTTTTAATTTTGGTGCCTGCTCATTTTAATGAGGCCACATTTTCTGCACACTCTGCAGTGCCTTTCTGTTTCAGTGACCCAATTCCCCTGATTTCCTTTACAAAAATGCAAACATGGATTTTTTAACTAACCAACTCAAGGTCTAAATAAGCCACACAAACCCTTGTGCGTGTGGTTTCTGTTTTTTTTTCTCTTCTGGAGTTTTCAGGCTAAATATTCAGGTGCTCTGTGACTCGTGAGTCTGAGGTTGGAATCAGCAGATCTCCTGCGATGTAGCGATGTAGCTCCATAAAGGTGCCTCTGATAAGATCCTCACTGAGGGGAAAAGAAATATTTCCATACTGGGCTAACATGTGAACAAAAACACATCTATTACCATGGAGACTTCCATATGTTATCTGTAGGTCGCC